TTTTAGGATTGTAACAGTTCTCGTGGCACAAGAGTGCGTCCACTCGAGAGCATTGAGCAAAGAGGCTGGGGATGTCATTAAGCTAGATCTGGAAAAGGCTTATGATAGAGTGGAGTGGATTATTTTGCTCGAGATCATGAAAAATATGAGTTTTGGGGCTAAGTGGAGAAGCTGGATTTTTTGCTGCCTTTTTTCTACATATTTTTCCTTTTTTTTTTAAAGGTAATCCTTCAGGGTTTTTTTGGGCTACTAGGGGACTTCGGCAGGGAGATCCCTTATCCCCTTTTTTGTTCACTATTTACACAAAATGTTTTAGCCACTTTATCCTCAATGTAGTTTCTAAGGGCCACTTTAATGGTTTCCAGTTGCCTAATGACGGCCCGTGTGTGACACACCTACAATATGCGGATGACACGCGCCTTTTCTGTGAAGCTAGGATTGACAAGTTGGCTAATGTGGCCATCTTTCTCAATATTTGTGAAGTAGCACTTTAATGGTTTCCAGTTGCCTAATGATGGCCCGTGTGTGACACACCTACAATATGCGGATGACACGCTCTTTTTCTGTGAAGCTAGGACTAACAAGTTGGCTAATGTGGTCATGTTTCTCAATATTTGTGAAGTAGCACTGAGACTTAAAGTTAATTTGGCTAAGTCAGTAGTTATCGACATTCATTGTAATGAGACTTTACTGTCGGAGATTGCGGGTATTTTGGGTTGTAAGGTAGACTATTTTCCAATTGTTTATTTGGGCCTACCCATTTCAGATGGGCGCCTACCCGTGGCTGTTTGGGATAAGATCATCCATAGAATTCAAGTTAAACTTGATTTTTTGAAGTATAAATACCTTTATCTTGGGAGTAGGATCACTCTGATTAAAGCTTGTTTGTCTAACATTCCCATATATCAGATGTCATTGTTGCAGATCCCGACGAGGGTGGCCAAGAAGATTGAGTCTATGATGAGGAATTTCTTGTAGGGGTCCTTTGATAATTAAAAAAATTTCCACCTTAGGTGGGATAGAGTGTGTACCCCTAGGAGAGATGGTGGACTTGGTATTAGGCATCTTACTTGGTTAATCAATCTCTCCTTTCCAAGTGGTAGTAGAGGAGCCTTGTCCTTAAAGATTTGTTATGGTACCAAGTGGTGGCGGCAAAGTATGGTGTGGACAGATTTCAGATGTGGGTGGAAGCAAGAAATAGATCACAAGGGATGTCTATAACCTAGAAATCCATCAACTCTTGTAGGACTTTGATCCATAGAGACATTCGGTGGGGCCTAGGTGAGGGTCGTAACATTTCTTTCTGGCACCATAAGTGGGCGGGTTTGATGCCTTGGAAATACCTCTTTCCAGCCATCTTCCATCATATGGCGAACCCTAATGCCACTGTTGCTGAGATGTTTGCTCGAAGGGGTTCTCAAGTTACTTGGGATATCCATCCCTTATTGTAGCGTGATCTCATTTTTCAAGAATTTGTGGGGCTGCAATCTCTACTTCATGATGTCTACGTCCCTTCGAATGCTTCAGATATGGTTATTTGGGAGATTCGAGCTGATGGTCAGTTCTCAATCAAATCCATGCATGACCTTCTATTCTACGACCGGTGGAGGTGGTCGATGCCAGAGATAGCCTCATTATGGAAATGGCCTTTGCCCCTTAAAGTTCAAGCCTTCTTATGGTTGGCTGTCCAAAATAAGGTTCGTACCACTGACAACCTGATCAAGAGAGGTAAAGCATTGCCAAATGCTTGCTTGCTTTGCAAGTCGAACGCTGAAACTGATCCGCATTCACTGCCTTTTTACCTTTCAATTATGACATTGGTTTTTTGATAAAATGGTTCCCATTATCATGCTGGCTGAGGTTATTGGTATCATCTCAAACTTGTCTATGCCACTACCCAAGTTTGGGATGTCCCTGTGGCAGATTGCTCGCGGCTTGATCCTGTGAGAAGTGTGGAAAGAAAGGAGTCGAAGAGTGTTTGATGGTTGTAGTCTCCCTTTTGAGTGGTTCTGCACAAAATTCTTTACGATCGTTGGTGATGTTGTTCCATCACTAAGGAGGGGGCCGATATTTTAGAAGTCGATGTGAAGAGAAATCTTCCTATCTTTTTCTTTCTGAAATCTCAAAAGTGTAGATCGCAGGGTAGATGGGTGCCTCCTTTAGATGACACCTTCAGACTTAACTTCGATGGGAGCTCTCTTGGGAATCCAGGATGGGCTGGCTATGGGGGTGTGGTGAGAGACTCAAGTAGATTGGTTATTTTTTCCTATGCAGGGCCGTTAGGGATCTCTACAGCCAACCACGTGAAGATGTTGGCTCTCCTCAGTGGTCTGTATTGTTCATTAAACGAGATATAGGTCGGTCTTGTATTGTGGAGGAGGACTCTCTCAATGTTATCAACTAGTGTAATGGTGTTCTTAAGCCCCCTTGGGAGCTTAGGTCTTCCTTGCTGAAGATTTCGGACCTCTCTATATCTCTTGTTATTTCTTTTGTGCATGTCTTTCGTGAGGCTAATGTTTTAGCCGACTCTCTCGCTAAAGGGGGGACTTTCATGTCTTCGGCTATTTGCTCTGACGCTGTAATCTCATTTTGATAATCAATAAAATGATTGAACTTCTTTAAAGAACAAATTCTGTTTGGATGACTATTAATTTTATCTAAAATAAATTTCTTATCTAAAGTTAATGTATTCTAGATAATATTATTTTATTAGTTTTTTGGTACATATCTTTTATTATTTTAATTTTTTAGGAAATTTTCAATAATATTAGTTATCAATGGCTAAAAAATGTGATTTTTGTTGAATTATTTTGAATAAATTAAAAATAACTTTTAAGAAGGATAGACTTATATATAAAACAGCTAATAAGTTTATCTCATATAACTTTATAAAAAAATACTATCAAACAATAGATAATTCATTATCCGGATTGGCTTTATTGAAACAATGAATTATCAGTAATAATCAATGCATCCCAACAAGCTCTCAGGCTTCAACTAAGCACAATCATTTTGGCTTCGGTTTAGTGGTCTTTGATATTAGTTTGGATGAAGGGCGTCAAGGTTCGAACTTTTGAAATATGTCAAAAAAAACTAAAAAACCAAAAAAAAAAAAAAACAAGTTGACCTACCCCCAATTTTTTTTGCTTTTTAAGCACATAGATGGTAGCATTTCCCAATAGCGCACCGAAGAGTTTGCATCATGAATGCATCCATTAAACTCAACAGTGATAAAACTGGGGCGGTTGAGGTGTGGCATTCCAACTTTCAAATAAAACTTTTGAGAGGAAGAATGACACATCTCAATGTGGTATTATTTACAAACAATATTACATAAAATTAAGTCGTAAAAATCAGTGCATCTACCCACATGGGTAGAGCCTTATATCAAGATACACATAATAATATAGGCCATTCTATAAAATAAATTATTCTCATAAGATAGCAGCAAATGGGGAAATTTGCATCATTACAAATTAAAATATCGGGTATCTTGGGAGTTTTCTTTTTTATTTATTGAGTGTTTCATACGATTTCAACGAAATAAATAATTTATATTGGACATAATAAGCATATTTTCTAAAAACATCACAGGACCAATGTCAGATATGACACAATTTTTTTTTCTTCACAACTAAAACTCGATATATCTGTTTTCACATTACTACAACTAAAACAAGTTGGGTAGCTGCATATTAATCAGACCAAAAATAAAATAAAAATCTATACCGACCCATTGCCTTCATCGATTTAATTCGCGCTACCGTTTTATATTGTGGCATATCAGGCCATATATTCAATATACTTTTGAACCATGCATTAAATGTACTAACTAGTAAGCCAAACATGCGCTCATTGCCATCTCACTCATGCTACCATAGTAAGTGCCTGATCATTTAATTTTATCAAGAATCATACACACCAAGCTCTTTCTTGGCTGTAGAGTAGAGAAAGCTGACAACCTCCTTGTGCTCGAGGCACTATTATTGAAAAGTTAACATTCCACACAATTCTTGAAAGAGAGAAAGAGAGAGTATACAAGAGACTAGTTAACCATTCTTGTCCATCAAATTTCAAATCAAATGGTTATAAATGTACTTATGAGTAAACTCAAAGCCCAATAAAAAAAACTTTGTACTTCATGACACACGCCAAACCATCCTATTAAATATCTAATGGTTAGAATTAATTGTAACCTCCGACTAAATATAAAGGGTGAGGTTTGTATAAGGAATCAATCTTATACTATTAAGGTATGGTGAGCCTCAAAACTATGCCAAAAATATAATTTCAATGCCACAAAGCCTTCCAATGATATGAAATCTATTGCTTCCCCCAATGACATGAATTTAAAATTCCATAAATGGTTACAATCAAACAGATATATAAACACTTCAAAATCTTGAAAATGGACGGTCTAGATAATGTGTTCGAAAAAGAGCTTTTTCTAGGACTCAAAATCACTTTTTTTTTTTTTGGCATGAGTCTTGAGGTCGACATACATATTTCACTAGTGGGTTTTTTAGGTGCACCTTACCCCTCTATATTATAACTTTTCCCGCAGACAAATGGTCTCATAGTATACAATCCCTTATTGAAAAGTTCACATTCAAGACGCCAAACCATTTCTTACAGTTAAATCTTTATCCAAAACCTACAACCCAAAGGAAGTTTACAGCAGAGCCTTTACAAAGGCAACAAAACTCCTGGTGCCTCTACCTTACTGTTTCACTTTCACCCCGTCTCCCAGATTACTCTCTCTCTCTCTCTCTCTCTCTCTCTCTCTCTCTCTCTCTCTCTCTCTCTACTCTACTCTACTACGTACGTACGTACGTACGTACGTACGTACGTACGTACGTACGTACTACGTACGTACTACTACTACTACCGTACTAACCGT